ACCTTTTGTTACGTGAAAAAGTCTTTTCATAGCTTCTAGCGATCGAAATCAAACTTTTCTAAATAGAAGTGATACTTAGGGTAGCGCGGGGCAATAAGAGCCACCTAAGGAAAACCTGAAATAAAATGCTACTTATTCCACTCCTTGCAACCAATTTTCTTTTTCTAGATAGTTCGTGATGTGTAAAATAAAATATAAGTATCAGTTCTCTGTTTTAGATAAGCATTACTGGTATGCAAAAAAAAACTGAATTATTTTAGGTAAAATTTGAATTATTTTAGGTAAAACCGAGGGTAAAACACAAGAGAAAAATACATATGTCTGAAATCTTTTAAAATAAAAATTCAAGTTATTTCAGTTGATATATTATATATTCCACTCTGGCTTCGATTACCTTGTTTGTTTACATATTTGCAAGTTAAAAATAACAAAATTAAATGCGCTAACAGAAGCAAAACAACTGCGCAGATCGAACCTACACTTCAGTAGATTTCATTTAACACCGCTATTTTGTTCTAAAGCAAAATATAAATACAACTTACCACTAATTTTTTAAAACGTGCACTGTATAAAGAAGTCCCGTAAACACGATGCGTTTTCAACAGACTTGGAATCGTACTAAAACAAAGCGGTGGTTGCTTTAGGAAACATTTAATGGGGGATCCCGCGTATAGCAACTGTCAGTGCTCAGATCAGGGCGCGTTATTCAAAATTACACAATGGCTCCCATTACCCAATGGCTCCCAATACCCCGCGGTACCCTACTATTGCTTCTTTCTTGCTTTATTCTTGTTTTTTTTTCTCCTTCGAAGTTCCTATAATGTTTATTAGCAATTATTAGTATTTAAATATGTTATATTATTATTTAGTTTAATGTTGCTTAATGTGTTAGTTATATTTTATGTTATGTTTTAATAGATATTTGCATTTTCAATTCAATATTTTAAAGCTTTTTTCTCTAAATTGGTTTATGTTGTTTGAGGTGTGGCAATTTTAAGTTACCTATATATTTTTTCTTTGCTTGTGTTCATGTTAATTTTATCATGACTGATTACTTATAATAATTTGATATTATTTTAAAACAGTAGTTTTTTTTTACTTTAACAGACCGCATACCCCAAAAATATAATGTAAACCACTGTACTTGTTAAAATTCCTTATTTTAACAATAAAGAATTATTCTTTTCTGTTTACATTCCATCCTATACGTACGCCTATGTTGTATTTATGACCCTAATTTTTGAACGGATAACAATGGACAACATACCAAAATTGACCATAAACCGAGTAGTCCTATCTAAAATTTGATAAAAAGGGACACATTTCAATAAGAATAAACCAGAAGAAACTATTGAATTTGCATAAATTATTGGTACCTTATGCTGTTGTCCATTTGCATGTATAATAAGGCTTTATTACTCCGGGTCAATTTCAAAAAGACATACCTATATATTTAGTATTGAAAACAGTAATTTACTATTAGTTTTTGAAATTAATCATCAATATTTCGCGAGGATGTAATTCTGAGCTTAAATGCACAGGGCGTTTTAAAGTTAAGGTAAAAAACAACCCTTCAATTAACCTTAAAATTAAGGGTTGTTTTTTACCATATCTTTAAGACACCCTGTGCAACAATTTCGGTCAGAACAGTGTCTCCTGAATATTTTGTTTTTGAAAAATAATGTTTTAGAAAAAGTTCCTCATGAAATTCTTGTACAGGGTGTTTTAAAGTTAAGGTAAAAAACAGCCCTTCAATTAACCCTGTATAATAAGCCAAATACTAAAGTTTGTAAAAACTGAGTTTATGAATTAAAGTTGATAGATTTATACAGGGTGTTTCTTAATGACATGGTAATATTTAAAGAGGTGATTCTTGAACCTATTCCAAGAAATATAAAACTTCATATACCGGGTGCGTCTCAAAAGTGGCTCACCCCTATAACTTTTTTATTTTTTCAGATAAAAAAAAACGAAATTTGGTATGTTAGTATATGACATAAACTAGGATTGATTGACCTATTCAACTGTTTTCGGTCACTTTCTGTTTCACCGGAAATGACTACAACTTTTAATTTTTTTAAATGAGACCCTCGGTATTTTTTGACTTTATTCGATTGAAAATGACACTCTGAATCGAATGACATATATCATATGTCAATTTTTGACATATTCGCTGAAAAATAAATTGTAAATTAAATTTCAATCTAAGAGTCGTGCCATGGCTGTGTTAAAAACACTAATTTTGATTTGATCGTCTATTGTTTTTAGTGTCTTGTCCTGGCCAGTTAAAAGATGCCCAAATCGTATTTTTAATCATAACTTATTTTTTTCAAATGGAACGAGGATGGCTCATTAGCATATTTAGAAAAAGATTTTTTTACGAATAATTTGATACTTTTTTTATTTATCACTTGGTATTTCGAGCCAAATTGTCGCTATGAACCGCATGTTACAATTTCAAATAAATCATATGCGAAAATGTCAAAAATCGTTCAATTCAGAGTGTCATTTTCAATCGAATAAAGTAAAAAAAAACCGAGAGAGTCGTTTAAAAATCAAAAGTTGTAGTTATTTCCGGTGAAACAGAAAGTGACCAAAAACAATTGAATATGTCAATCAATCCTAATTTATGTCATATATTCATGTGAATATATGTGGTATGTCCCAAAGCTCGTTTTTTATATGAAAAAATAAGAAAGTTATAGGGGTGAGCCACTTTTGAGAGGCACCTGGTATATCCTAAACAATATTAACTTTTCAGATACAGGGGTTGTGAAACTCTCTATTTTTTTTAAAATATCTCTGATGTTATACAGGGTTGTTCACCACATACGACACGGAGTATTGTAGCTAAACGATTAGATTTTTACAAATTGAAAAAGTTTTGGGTTCATTGTCAATGACATTGAAGGACTATTAGAGAGCTACGATTTAAAAATATTTTTACAAGATACAGAGTGTCCCAAATAAGTAAAAAATATTATAGTTGTATTTTTTTAAATGAAACACCCTGTATATTATTCTATTTTTGGATTCTACGATTGAAATAAAAGTAAGTTTGATTAAGCTTTATCACACTTAAACCTTACCGTTTTTGAAATATTTTCAATTTTGTGAAATTGCAGTAAAAAATTTAAGGTTTCATTTCTCCAAGATTATTAAAGGTTTTAATACTAAATATTTACTGAAGATTATTTATCGATCAGATATTGTGTTGTAATAATAAAAATTATACTACCTTATACAGAGTGTCTAAAAATTTATATTAAATAAGTACTAGCTTTAAACGGCAATAACTTGTTTAATTTAAATGGAACACCCTGTATATTTTACGCGAATCAGATGCACAATTTAATTGTCTATCAAATTGTATTATAGAATTTTTTACCTATCTCTTCAAGTTTTCGTGATAAATAAGGTCTAAATTATTAGAAAATTCATTTTTTTTCGAAAACTTGAAGAGATAGGTAACAATGGTATAATACAATTTGATAGACAATTAAATTGTGCGTCTGATTCTCGTAAAATATACAGGGTGTTCTATTTAAATTAAACAAGTTATTGCCGTTTAAAGTTAGTAATTATTTAATATACATTTTTAGACACTCTGTATAAGGTAGAATTTTGTTTATTATAAATAAACTTCAGTAAATATTTAGTATTAAAAATTTAGATACCCTTGGAGAAATGAAGTCTTAAAATTTTTACTGCAATTTCATAAAAATGAAAATATTTCAAAAACGGTAAGGTTTAAGTGTGATAAACCTTAATAAAATTTACCTTTATTTCAATCGTAGAATCTAAAAATAAAATAATATACAGGGTATTTAAAAAAAAATACAACTATAATATTTTATACTTATTTGGGACACTGTGTATCTTGTAAAATTATTTTTAAATTGTAGCCCTAATAATCCTTCAACGAACCCAAAACTTACAATTTGTAAAAATCTAACCGTTTAGCTACAATACTCCGTGTCGTGGTTAACGACCCTGTATATTTGATACACGTCTTCTATGCATCAAAATGTTTATTTTGACATACCAAAAAAAATTGTTTAATTTCTTAATTTCCTTCCAGCCGATGCAGAAATGATTTCCACACAACAGTCACCACATCAGATTTTCAGCGATTTGATCCTGAAGTAAACTGACTTTAATTTTTTTAAGAAAAAACAATGCCTGAATAGAGATTTTGAAAATACTTTTTATTTTGAGAGAAGTCAGTGGTGTATCACTTTTTTCTCCAAAAATATTCAATGTAAAACCCGAATGGACGGCACTAGTTGAAATAAATAAAATTCTTTGTATACAGCAAAATAAAAACACTAAATCACCACAATACACCAAAACACTTTTACTTTTACACTGGACGCGCGTTTCGCTAACCATGTTAGCATTATCAGCAGATGATTATAAACTCCAGTTTATAATCATCTGCAATATAAGCTCCAGTTTATAATCATCTGCTGATGATGCTAACATGGTTAGCGAAACGCGCGTCCAGTGTAAAAGTAAAAGTGTTTTGGTGTATTGTGGTGATTTAGTGTTTTTATTTTGCTGTGTAACACCAAAGGTTCCAACCCTCAACTGTAATTCTTTGTATACCATAAAAGGTATTTTTATGCATAGAAGATGTGTATCATGTTTCATAAAGATATCTATAATAAAATCAGAGTTATTATGACAAAAAGTTATTTTTTAAGAAAATTTTACCACTCTACCTCAGAAATTAAGATGTTTAGGGCATACCTACATTCATATGAAGTTTTTGTCTTAGAATAGGTTCAAGAATCACCCCCTTAAGTATTAGCATGTCATTAAGGAACAACTTGAATAATAAGCCAAATACTAATAAAAAAGTGAGTTTATGAATTAAAGTTTAGATTTATACAGTTTGCTAAAAATTTCATAAAAATAGGGCTAAAAGTAAAAAAAAATATAACACTTTAAACTTGAAAAAATGTGATTGGGATAAAGGCTAATAAAAAAAATTACAATTCCCAGACCTTATTTTTTATTTAACAACTAGCTTAATATACATTTCGTTATAAAATTCTGCACATTATTTCAATTCAAACTTCCAGTCATACATTATATTTTCGGAAAAAAGAGTTATCCATCTTTCTTACAAACAAATTAGAATTATTTAATAGTTAACCGAAAACTACAAAAGCTCAATATACACGCCAATCTACAAAGGGTTGGGTATAACTTTCAATCATGGTTATGATGTTTCAATATTACATACATTCTTTTATAAATAAAAATTGTATGTAACATTTATTTATTATAAACTATTGTCGTTGAGACGTTAAAGAAAAATATTTTTTTTTTAATTAGAAATACTTCAATTTTGAAACTATCACACTCAAGTCAAGGGAATACACTTTTTATACAAGCAAATATTTTATAGATTCCCTTGTCTGATGCTTTAGTACCATCACATAGAAAAAATGGACCATAAATAACGTATGGAACTATAATATTCCATAACGAACAAAATATTACAATATTAGTACAGTGGAAAAAACTAAAAATTTTGGATACATTAGAAAAATATTTAATTTATACTATTAAAACATGCTACTGTTCATATTTTCACTGTAAAGAATTATAGTTAAAAATATTTTACTTGAATAAATGTGTAGAAATATTTGTCATACTAATTTATTGGAAAAATAATGCTAGGAACATAAAAAAAATTGTGTCAACAAAATAAAAAAAGCAAATCAGACTGTGCGCGTCAAAAATATATATATATATATATGAATAAAGCTTACAGTTTCATATACTTTAGTTCCTTGTCTTCAAGATATTCTAGCTGTAAGATATGATGGTACTAGCACGTTAGTTCATTCCAAATTTAATGTCTCAAATCACTAAACTAAATATTTCAAAAATTAGTTCATTGCGTCGGATATTTGTACATCACGGACATATTTGGTTGCTGACCGGCTGGTCCCGACCACTGTCCCTGAGGAGGCACCATACAGTATTGCTGTCCTGCTGGATATTGATACTGTTGCTGATACGGATAACCAGCTTGCATGTAACCAGTACTATAACCTTGATGGTACCAATATCCAGTTCCATATCCGTAAGAATAGGGAGGGCCGGCAGGAGAAACCGTAGCTCCAGAAGCGGTGACTGGATTGACTTCGGGCCCTAAGCCCCCATTTTCTTTTCCCCAAAAACATTTAACAGTATGACCGTTAATATCTGTATTATGAATAGTTTCAATTGCATGTGTGGCACTATCCTTGGTAACAAACTTTATAAAGGCATATCCTTTGTCTTTGAAAACACGAATATCTTGAATAGCTCCAAATGGAGCAAACGTTTTCTGGACAAGATCTTCGGTAAGTCCACTTGCAAAGCCACCACAGTATACTGTAGTATTTGTGGGGGAACTTTGATTATAAACTTCATCGAAAGTAATTTGTTTCTTACTCTGGGGTGCTTTTTCTGTTCTAGGAGGTGGTGGTTTGCGGGTGGACCAATTAGTTCGAATAGAACGCGATCCAAGCCATTGACCATTCATTGCTTGTATAGCATTCTCAGCTTCGGCTTTCTTTACAAAAGATACAAAAGCATAACCCTTAGATTTTAGAGTTTGGGGGTCTCTAACGATCCTACAATTAGATATTTCTCCAAAGGGAGCGAAGGCTTCTCTCAATGTTTCAGTCTCTATTTCAGGCGACAGGTCGCCTACAAATATGTGATGATGATTTGAAGTGTCCGTTTTGGGTTGATTTCCTGGACTTGTTGCCCAATTCACTTTCATTTCCTTGTCAAGGAACACCCGTTTATTCATCGCGATTAGTGCTGTAGAAGCTGACTGATGATTAGTAAACTCCACAAAAGCATACGGATCATTTCCAGGCTCCCGAATAATCTTACAACCTTTTACCGGACCGATTTGCGAGAATAATGTACACAACAGGTCCTCTGACACAGATAAGTCCAGATTGCCCACATAGAGTGTCTTGGGGTAAGTTTCTTCTGACATGGCTATGCCGGTACGTTTATCCTATGTTCTATCACTAAATATGATTGACTGGATTCATTAAATACAGTATTTTTTCGTTAAAAACTATTTTATAAGCGGTAAATCAATGACGATGACAAATAACAACGAGCTATCTTTTTTCTTTGATGTCGGCCAGCTGTCACTTTCATCTTTGGGGGAAAAAACAAAAAGAAATAAAAGTAACTAGCCATTATCCTGCTGAATCCTGCTACTTGAGAAAATAAATTATTCGCGAACAGTTCCCGAATTAAATATTTAGTAATTGAAAATACAAATTAAGCTTAACAATTTTACGTGCGAATGCAAACCTAAATAATATGAAAGTATTTTATATTTTTAATCAAGAATTAAAAATTGTTATAAAAAGAATCAAAAATCCCTAAATTGGCAGGAGAAAATTCTAAATGCCAACCAATGAGAAAAGAGCTTCAAAAAGAAAGCGATTTTGAGGTTAAAGGAACGTTTTTAAAAAAGTTATAAAAACATTTTGCTTATTTTGCAAAATGTAAACCAAAAATTCTTAAATATGTCTAGCGAAGAGAGCCCCGCAGCACGTCAGAAATCCGAGTTTACAGCTTTACGGGTAAATGACATTGTCTTATTAAGGTTTTGATTTAAACTTATTTAATTAATTGAATTATTCATTACAGGCGATTTATGGCAAGGATATAAAAGATCTAAGGAAAAAACCAGCATGGAACAATTGGAGTCCCTTAGATCTTGCCGTTACCTTAACTCCACAAATTGGGAGTTCAGGAAATCAGGAAGTTTACGTTCAAGTTGATTTACATGTAATATGCCCAGAAGAATATCCTATCAAGTATGTGGCTTATTATTTCTATTGTGTTAAGTTAATATATTTTAACTGAATCTTATAAGCGAAAAGCTTTTCAAACTATACTTACATGTATGTTTTAGAGCACCTAAAGTTTTACTCGAAAATGGAAAAGGAATGTCTCAAACAATTTTACTAAAGCTGACAGAAGAATTGCAATTACAGGCTAAGGAACTCGAGGGGACTGAAATGATATACGAATTGTGCCAACATATTCGAGAAAAATTACATCAGCATAACAAGCCTGCTATGAAAAGCCTTTATCATGAAATGTTATTAACACAGGAAGAAAAGAAACGGGAACAAGAATTGCAAAAGCAATTAGAGGAGGATCGAAATGTAAGTAAAATTTTTTTGTAATATATTTTTTATATCTGTTATTTTATATAGAAAGAAACTATGATGAAAGAGGTGAAAGAGAGACAAGAAATGTTAAAATCTGAAGCTAGGTTAAGAAGAGAAAGACAGAGAAGTACTTCAGAGAATGAAGCAGATGGGGAACTGCAAAGGAAATTTTCTCTTACTAACAGGTTTGCATATTGTTATACTAGCGCTTTTATTTCTTGTTTATTTTGAGACAGTCATAATGCTTGAAACAAAATTTAGTACATGGAGTGACTAAATTTAATACATTACTGACTTAAGCCTTTTTTAAAAAGTCTTACATCTTTTTAATGACTTAAGTCTTTTATAAAAATGACATCAGTCATTTCTAAAAAGACTTAAATCTTTTTCTATTTCGGAATAAAGATTTAAATCACAAGTCATTTTGAAAAAGACTTAAATTTTAAGTCTTAAGCAAAGACAAACAAATAGAAAGAGACCTGAAGAGACTGACAAATCCCATGGTAAAGAGTGGGACCGCGTTCCCGTAGCGCAACTCAGAATAACAATTTTGAAACCAATTAGGAGGACCATGGCAGGACGTACGTCTTTATTGCTATCTTTCTTTATTATGTGTGCTTCAAATGAAAAAGAAAGAGATACGTATAAAACGTATCGCAAGACATTATCGCACATTCTGGCTGGCGGGAAATTTAAATTAGCCATTTATTAGTATAATATAGTATTCTTTCGTTTTGAACGAACTGAAAATTTTCACTTAAATTGATTTATTCCCTATACCACGTAAAGGGAACGTGGGATAGGGAATGAATCAGTTTAAGTGAAAATTTTCAGTTTCCTTCAGAACGAAAGGATACTACTAGGTATTATGGTCAAGTGCAGTTTTAATCCCAAAACAAAAGTAAAATAGGTATATTAATTAAGTTTCTATCTGGTTACTATAAACCATCTATAAACTACCCAAAAAATGAAATGTAATAATTTGTTATGTTAAGAGAGGTTCGAAATATTTTTGACACTACTATACTTCTACTTTTTTCTTAATAGGTTGAGAAATATAACATACTTACTTTTATTTTACCGGGTGTCTTTAACATATCTATCAGAGAAAGGGGGTACAAATACATATAAAAAATACATGATACTGGCTCCTGCAGCAAATAAAATGACAAATAGTATAACCTAAAATTATAAGTAACAAAATATAAATACCTATCTGAAACAAAGGAATTTGTTCCCTATCCATATCCATAAGCCAATAAAATGGAGAGTTTAGAAAAAAAAGGTAAATCACCAAAAAAAAATTAACAAACATGACGAATTGTCATGATGTTGTCATCTTGGTTGTCATGATAACGAAAGGCGATTGTTTAATTTCTATTTAGAAAATCTCTGTTAGAAATCACGTTTTATATGGCTGCTTCATTCTCTCTTATTATATATTAGAATGAGATAGTGGGCCAAATAGATACAATGCACAATGCCCAGATCAACATAAATAGAACCAAATTTTGAGGCAAAGAGAGGGACAACGTTCCCGTAGCGCAACTCAGAACGCAAAATTTCGTTCTATTTATGTTGATCTGCGCATTGCGTCTATTGGGCCCACTATCTCATTCTAATATAACAAGAGAGAAAGAAGCAGCCATATAAAACGTAATTTCTAAATATAGATTAGAACAATCGCCTTTCATCATCATGACAATCAAGATGACAACATCATGACAATTCGTCATGTTTGTTAATTTTTCTTTTGGTGATTTACCTTTTTTTTCTAAACTCTACATTTTATTGGCTTATGGATATGGATAGGGAACAAATTCCTTTGTTTCAGATAGGTATTTATATTTTGTTACTTATAATTTTAGGTTATACTATTTGTTATTTTATTTGCTGCAGGAGCCAGTATCATCTATTTTTTATATGTATTGGTACTCCCTTTCTCTGATAGATATGTTAAAGACACCCGGTAAAATAAAGGTAAGTATTATGGGTAAGTATGTTATATTTATCAATCTATTAAGAAAAAAGTAGAAGTAGTAGCACAGATTAGGTATCCTATAAGTATACAGATAAAAATCTTGTCCCTAATTCGTGGTACGAAAATTGTTTTTTATGACGATGTGCAAACGAGTCAAATTTCCTGTGCGCAAAAATAAACTCGCGTAAAATAACAATAAACAGCGTAATAGAGAGATATCGCTAAACCGAATAGCGTGCATGGACGTTAATAAGGCCACGTGTTATTTCCTTTACGTGAGGTGGTATTAACTCTCTTCATTTATAGTTATCGGATCGGAAAGAATTCTGATCGCGTCGCGTCTGCTATTTAAACTTAACCTAACTTTGAAATTGTTTTCTTTACTGGGTATTTTAAAACTAAAGGGCTAAAGTGCTTATTTCCAGTGCTTTATTGTTCAACGTCTGCCAGTGGGTTTAGGGCAACAAGCAACAAATTCTCTTAGAAGGGCTAAGTTATCATCTGCTGTAAACCTAAGACTCTTTATAGGTTCTTTAGTATTGGAAGAGGTGGAATCCATATTTTGAGCCATATTTATTTAATTAAAACTAATCCCAGCTACTTAAATATCAAATTACCTAATAAAACTAAAGCAATAATTCAAAACATTTCAAACATAACCTAAAATAAAAGATCTCGCCGGCCGGGTCCGGTTGTCAAATACCCGCACATTATGCCGCATATGCCCATTTAAGCAATTTTTAAACGTTATTAGAGGTTATTTAGAAAGAGCGCTTGGTGTAATTGATCCGCAAATTACGTCAGGCGGTAACGTTATTACCGGGTGTTGCGTTAAAAATTGACTCGCGCATATCGTAACCATGATAAGGTACGCGTAAATACTGGATGGCGCTATTCGGTTTTCCGATATCTTTCTAATAACTGTGCCGGTCAGGCGCTGTGCGCAATTTTAGAGGCCATAAGTGGGCGTGCTATGTGCGCAAACTAGTCACCTAACTAGTGCCCGATTCCGAAAATTGGAACCACGAAAAACAATAAAGAAAAAACAAAGATTATAATCTGTATAATCTGTGGTAGTAGTGTCAAAAATGTTTCGAACCTCTCTTAACATAACAAATTAATACATTTAATTTTTTTCATTTTTTTGGGTAGTTTATAGCTGGTATAGTAACCAGATAGAAACTTAGATAATATACCTATTTTACTTTTGTTTTAGGATTAAAACTGGATTTGAAAATGGTTCAGGGTCATGATTCTCATAAAGTCTTCTTTGCTTGGATATTCATCACTTTGTTATTGCAGTTAGGCAGTTGACAAAAACTGATGGTTAAAAAATGTAGGTACTTATTTAAACTTATTTAACAATATGATTATATAACAATATGATAATAATCTTAAAATAAACTAATTTAAAAAATAGATATAAGATATATAAAAATGCTTATTTTTCCAAAATTACTGATAATAATTGAAGGGGTGGCTGCAATAACCAGGCAGCTCCACTTTTTTTCGAAAATGAGATTTTTAATGCCCTTTAAAATAAATTGCAGATCGTTTCCTGCAACAGTCAGTTCTTCTGCATTTAAAATTGGTAGGTGGGTGGAATAAACACTTATTTTTTGTTATTATATTATAAAATTTTTATTTATTTTTTTGTATAAATAAATATGTTTATAAAACAGTACAATTTTTGCTTTTTTTATAATTTCCCTTATAATAGTAGTATTCTTTCGTTCTGAAAGAAACTGAAAGTTTTCACTTAAACTGATTTATTCCCTACACCACGTTCCCTTTACGTGGTATAGGGAATAAATCAGTTTAAGTGAAAATTTTCAGTTCGTTCAGAACGACAGAATAGTATAATACTAATAATGGCTAATTTAAGTTTCCCGCCAGCCAGAATGTGCGATAATGTCTTACGATACGTTTTATACTTATCTCTTTCTTTTTCATATGAAGTACACATATTAAAGAAAGATAGCAATAAAGACGTACGTTCTGCTATGGTCCTGCTAATTGATTACAAAATTGATATTCTGAGTTGCGCTACGGGAACGCGGTCCCACTCTTTACCATGAGATTTGTCAGTCTATTTTTATTTCTTTATCTATGGTTCTGCGTTGCGCTACGGGAACGACGGGAACGTTGTCGCTCTCTTTGCCATTTAATTTGCCAGTCTCTTTTTATTTGTTTGTGCTGTCTTAAGTCAGCTTCCGAAAAATGACTTAAACTCAAAGTCATTAAAATGATCTTGATTTGAAAAACTTAAGTCATTAAAATGATTTAAATCAAAAAAAGGTTTCAGTTTTCTGTGAGCTTGCAGCTCTGGTAGGGGTGGGGGTAGTTTTTACTCTTTCCGTACTGTTTCTTGATTTTTGTGAAAGTCAAATGTTAAAGCGCTTAGCAAAACATAGGCACTCCAAATCCTATTCAAATCAGACTATCGGTTTGGTTTGGTTTGGTTTAGAATATCTGAAAAATGTATCTATTTTTTTAAAGTTTGATGCCCTCTAACGGACAAACGAAGCATTTTTGTATAGAGGTAAATTGTATCCAATAAACATATTTTGATTTTAAAAATACGTAGTAGTTCTATGTCTACGGAATATTGGGACACCCTGTATATTCCATTTAAAAATATATAACTTTGGTTTGAAAATATGTTTGAATCACCATGTATATGGACAAAAATATTTTAAAAATGTGCGCTACCATTGCCTACATATACTAAGGGTCGGCATTTCTTCGTCTTGGGTGCCGGTTTTCATGTGTACAGGGTGGGTCAAATTCGACGCTTTTAAATAGAAACACCCTTTTCTATAGGAGATAGACGAAAACTAATATCGGTGTCTGGAACTCAATTTTCATCAAAAATATGATGGTGAAAACCGCACATCAATATCTGTTACCGTTTTGGAGTTACGGGGTGTTTTTCAAAAATGTGCATTTTTAACAAATCGCTGTAACTTTTTTACTATGGAAGATTTTGTATTTCTATGAAAACATTTCCAAAGCACCGTTTTACGTAGAATTTAATGGTTTAAGTATAATTTTTTTAAAATTAATAATATAAGAGTTATCAACAGAACAATTGATTTTTTATTTGGTACACCCTCTATATTTTTAATTAATCGAAAATAATTTTAAATTACCTTTCCAAAAATATAGCACACTTGATATTTTGTTATAATCCCCTTCGAAATACAGAATTTTTAAAAGTTCGCCACTTTTAACTAGTAGGCTTAAGTAGGGGTCCATTATTGATGATATGCCCTTAATGGAACTCGAAAACATATTTTTCCAGCAAGACGACGCACCGCCTCGGAACGCTGAAGTTATCAGCAAATTTTTGCAGCCAATTTCAAGAATAATTGAATAGCTAACCAAGATCACAGCCGTTGCCCGTCGAGGCCGTCTGACTTAGTGCCCATGGATCTAATCCTATGGATATATTTGCGGAACAATAAAGGTTCCTTTATCCGTATAATCTAGACAAGAATTAGAAATACTTAGCAGTTATGAGAGGGTATCTTTCACCCCCACTGAGTTAATGAATTTCGCGAGAAATGTTCAAAAACTGCCCCGTCTGTCCATAACAGAAGACGGTCGATATGTTGAACACTCAGAGGCGGAACTAGGGGAGGGCCAAGGGGGGCCTAGCCCCCTAGATTTCCAGTGCGTGTTGTATGAAATTGGTTTTAACATTACATCAATATTAGCTTTTAGTGACCTAAGCCCCCCAAAAGACTTGAGAGCCCCCCTACAATCTATGTCTAGTTGTGCCCCTGCGAACACCTCTAGCAAAATCGCGTTTTGGTTTGTTATTTATTTTTTTTTTGTTATTAGATATAGTTTAAATGTGTTGATGTTGGTTAAATATATTTTAAATTGTTATAAAATTCTGCATCTCTCATAGCATATATTATTTTCGTTTTAATTGATGCTCACAGCTAGAATTTTTTTGCATTACAGGCGGTGCCGTTCAAAGCCTACTTATTTAAAGCGGGCGAATTTTTATATACTCTATATCTCGAAGAGGAATCGAGCAAAATATCAAGTGTGTTATATTTTCGGAAAGGTAATTTTAAATTCTTTTCAATAAATTAACAATATACAGGGTATCCCATATAAAAACTCAAATTTTCTGTTGATAATTCTTAAATTATTAATTTTAAAATAATTACACTTAAACCATTAAATTCTACGTAAAAAGGTGCTTTGGAAATGTTTTCATAAAAATACAAAATTTTCCATAGCAAAAAAGTTACAGCGATTTGTTAAAAATGCATATTTTTGAAAAACATCCCGTAACTCCGAAACGGTAACAGATATCGATATGCGGTTTTCACCATCATGTTTTTGACAAAAATTGAGCTCCAGACACCGATATTAGTTTTTGTCTATCTCCTATAGAAAAGGGTGTTTCCATTTAAAAGCGTCGAATTTGATCCACTCTGTACAAAGAGTACGGCCAACAGAAGGCGAGTATTTTCCCAAGCGCATGGAATCTAGCGTCAGATTAAGTAGTTGTGTAATAAATACTTCGTATTTTTGCTTACTCCGACTTACTAGATTGCCATACCGACTCACTCCTATACATGTAAACGGCGACCCAAGGGTTCGCTTGCCAGCGGGGTATTATAAATATAATTTGGAGATAAAAAATATGTATTATGGTTGTTTTATGTCCGTGGAATATTGGAACCCCCTGTATATTTTTTAGATCTGCCATGGGAAGAAAATTCTGAATTTTTTTTCAAGAACTGTGAGATGTGGAGTTTTTACAAGTGGAGTTCTACTAAAGTTTATGTAGGGTGGGGGTTGTTTTCGCCCTTCTCGTACCTTTTCTTAATTTTTGTAAAACTTACATGTTAAAGCTCTTATCTTAGCAATTTAAATCGGAATAACGGTTCTTCAAATATATTGAAAAATATGTTTATTTTAATGTTTGAAACCTTCTAACAGATAAACGAAGCACTTGTTTTGCTTTCAAAAATACTTAGTAGTTTTATATCCAGGGAATATTAGGACACCCTGTATAAATTATAACTTGGCATAATACACAAATTTAATTTTACTTGTTGAATTTCAGAAAGCGACACAATAGTTCAACCGAAAGCAGCGATGAATTTGTTTGTAATCACAGAGGGGTCGTCTGTTTGGATTTTAATGGCAGAGAAATACAGAGGGGACAATGTATAAGTACGTATAGTCTATCCAATGGGAGAATATAGAATAGTGATGTAAAAGTTCCAGAAATATTTCCTGAAACATTGGAAATATATGGAAATATTGGAAATATATGAAATACACACACCGGATAAATCTAGGGATATCATTTTATTAAAGTTAAAAATAAATGTTTTGAATAAACAACCACATATTTGGAGGCCGATTCTTTCTACTTCGATTAAACTTAAACGAAGTAGTCACACTAGTTATTTCTAAATTTTGGATATTTGCAGAAGTGTTTGTGCATTTTTTGTCAAATGTATAAAAAGCACCTAGCATCAATTGTTCGAATTTAACCTGTACTGGCTATGTTTTTATGATAACTGGCCAGAATTCATTCAAATAACTCTGTTTAGTATTAAACGACATTATGGAGCGTAGACATCTTAACAGAGACGGCTAAGGGCCATGGGTATGCTCGAAGCTGGAATGCGCCAAATCGACGTAGCTAGAGCATTAAATACAACGCAAAGTGTAATATCGTGCACGCTACCGTAAGTGCACTCGACCGTGAAAGTGGTGATGTTGCTGAAAGGCACACAGGGTGACATCGCATTATTACCCCTCAGCAAGATCATTTTTTACAATTTAATGCTCGACGCCGACCGACTCTTACAGCACCAGAGCTTAGTTTAATTTTCCAGGAAACACATAATGTAACCGTTAGTCCTGACACTGTTCGCAATAGATTAAGAGAGGTCAACTTAAGAAGCAGACGCCCCTGGAGAGCTCAACCCTTAACGAGAGTTACGATATTTGTGGGCTCAAGATCATGTTCAGTGGTCGAATGAACAATGGGCCAACGTTCTCTTTACGGATGAGTCACGCTTTGGAATTCATCCGGATTCGAGAAGGCTTAGGGTATGGAGAGAACCGGGAAATCTTATTCGGTTGGATCATGTTCAGGAAGTGCACCCTTATCAAGGTGGAACAGTTATGGTCTGGGGAGGAGTCCAGTTAGGCCGAAAAACCGATCTCGTTTTTCTTGAAAGGTTTCTAACAGGAATCACATATCGTGATTTAATCCTTGAGCCTGTCGTGTTACCATATGCCAATGACTTTGGGAGAAACTTCATTCTCATGCATGACAATGCACGGCCTCATACAGCCAGAGTGGTAAATGAGTTTATCAATGCTCATCAATTAAACATCTTACCCTGGCCGGCACAATCTCCTGACCTGAACCCCATCGAGTACGTATGGGACGCGGTCCAAAGAAGAATTTTGAGAATGGGTATGCCTCGTGAAACTCGTAGGGATCTGGTTCGGGCCGTGAATGCAGCGTGGCAGGCTGTACCTCAAGAAGAGATCGCCAACTTTATCAGTAGCATGGAGAGACGATGTACGGCTGTAATGAACAGTAGAGGAGGCTATACCCTTTATTAAGTAAAAATGGTTTTATTTTTTTTTAATTCACAGTTTAGAATAAAAAAAATGTGTGTATTTTTTTGAGTTCAATAAAAATCATGGTAAATTTGAAAAATTCGGTAAATTTCGCATTTTTATTTCCAATACGTCCTGTAAACTATTTGTTTATTTTAATTTTATTATATCAGAAATGCAAATAATAAAATTACTGACGATGGCCGGATAAAATTGTAATATCCCTAGACTTTTCCGGTTTGTGTATTTTTAAAAATAAGAAAAACTGAAATATTTATTTATAAAAATCATAACAAAACATCGCAAAACACAAAATGCTTATACATAAACACAAATAAAGAGTTATTCTTCAATTTAAAAAGTAAATTAAGGTTAAATTTGTACAAAAAAAATTATTTTTGACACACTAGTCGAGCAAGAGGCATATCTTTATCGCTGTGATCAGCATCACACTCAATAACATCTTCTTGCCAGTCTACTTCCTCAAAATCTTCAATAGTATCGGAAATAAAAATTGATCTATTGCCGTTTCCTATTTTCTTCAGCAAGTTTTCATTGTGGGATACATAGAGTAGCTTAGCGGCTCTATCATTAGTAAGCTTGTTTCTCTTTTTTGAATGAATATGACTATAAACGCTAAAACTGCATTCCGTGGCAGCCGAAGATGCTGGCATCATCAACATTCGTGAAGCTACTTGTGATAATGAAGATGAAGAACACAGTCCTTTCCACCAGGAGACTAGGTTATCAAAACTACTTTTCCATATGAAGTTATTTCCAAATAACTTGCCACTTCTACAATGGTAATCTGCTATTTCATCTATTATTTCTTGTTCCTTTATATTGAGTTAATTTTTTGATATATTAAGAGGCTTACTATGGCAGAAAGAATTTGGGTTTCATCAAGTTCAGAACCTTGTGATTTTGGATTTAGTAATTCTGCAGCATAATGAATGGGTTTAATAGCAAATTTTTCTCTTTTGTCAACAAACTCCAATAATTCGGATTTTTCTTTGTCGTCAAGTAAGGACAATGCAAGATTATTCTGAATTACCCTTCTAATATCACAAAATGCTTTTACAGCAAAATGAATAGTGCAATAATCTCCTTATGCAATTTTTAACCTTTTGCCAATAGGTTCAAAAATGTTAATTACGTTGGAAATTTGGGCCCAAAATACTTCGTCACCTAATATCCACTGCTTAACATTTTTATTAATCATTTGTGTTGCTTCTTGACTAACTGCAACTCCTTGTAAACTGAGCCTAGTATTGTATACACTTTTTAAATTGGTCAAAATTGAAGACCAGCGAGTTTTTACTATTCTACGACTTACGAGCTCGGGACTTCCCCGTAGAAATGCGAGGTTGCAAATAAGTTGGTGAATCCCATAGACTTAAAATAAAATATAGACTACACTATTTACATCTCAACGCGGGCAAACAACCTTTTTTGTACACATGTTTACTTCTGGGTACAGTCGACCGAGCCTTCCTCATCCAGCCTATGTTGTCACGTCTTTAATATTATCAATATTTTTTTTCTTGTTATTCACATATATTGAGATATTAATACTACAGTTTAATAAAGTAGGTTTTAATATTCCAGAGATGTATTAAATAGTCCTTATACTACTAAATTATAAGTCGGATACTGTTTAAAAAGGATAAGTTCTTTACAATATGACAACACCGATTAGAGGCGAGGGAGCCTATTCATTCATTTATTACCTTGTAGTACGTGTCGCACGTGTGCGGTAAAGCTTTGTTGCCGCTATCTCCCCGGCTGTATTAACGCATTTTCTTAGCTTGTAGTGCTTAAGTGTTTATTTTATTGACTTTTTCTGTTCAAGAACTATAAAATATGGTTCGCCAGTGCCAAATTTGCAAGAAATTTGACTTAAATAATCCATTTAAGTCTTGAAACGACTTTTGACCGGTAGGCAACTCTCAATTTACCCATTGGGAGTCAGTGGCGTTGTTGTAGAAAGGCGCTTATTTAGATAATATTTTAGTAAAATGTAAAATCTGAATTTTTTCTCTTACATTACATTATTTACTTACTTACATTGTAACAAAATCATAATTATAACCCTGTTAATAATTAATAATGTTTTTATTAAAAATATATTCCGGTTTATTCTAAAATTATCTTCAGAATCTAAAATAACATACAAGAATTTTAAAATGATATTACATTATGAAACAATATTTTTTAATATACCGGGTCGTCTCAAAAGTGGCTCACCCCTATAACTTTTTTTTATTTTTTCAGATAAAAAAACAGATTTGTATGTTAGTAGGTATATGACATAAATTAGGATTTATTGACGTATTCAATTGTTTTTGGTCTCTTCCTGTTTCACCGAAATGATTACATCTTTTGATTTTTAAAGGCACCCTCGGTATATTGCTACTTTATTCGATAAAAAATGACACTGTGAATAGAATGACATATCATATGTCAACTTTTGACATTGTCGCTTAAAAACATATCCTATTTTAAATTTCAATCCAGTTTTTTTCAATCCACTAAGTTCTAATAGGTTTCGTGTCTTGTCTAGGCCGGTTAAAAGATGTACAAATCGTATTTTTAATCATACATATGTCAATTTTTTCAAATGGAATAAGGGTGACTCATTAGCATATTTGGAAAAAGCATTTTTTTATGAATATATTGATACCACACACTTGGTATTTCGAGTCAAATTGTCGTTATGAACCGCGTGTTACAATTACAATTAAACCATATGCGAAAATGTCAAAAGTTGACATATGATATTTCATTCTATTCAGAGTGTCATTTTCTATCGAATAAAGTAGAAATATACCGAGGGTGCCGTTTAAAAATTAAAAGTTATAGTCATTTCCGGTGACACAGGAAGTGACCAAAAACAATTGAATGCGTCAATCAATCCTAATTTATTTCATATACTAACATACTAAATCTTGTTTTTTTATTTGAAAATATAAAAAAATTATGGGGATGAGCCACTTTTGAGCCGCACCCGGTATAATAAAGACAGTACCGAGTTAAATAAATGTAGTTTTTATTTTATCCACTTCCTATCACCTTCCTTGCTTTAATGGAACAGATTTATGTTTTCTCTAATTTACATAATAAGACATCACTTAACTAGAAAAAAAATTACAACAATCATTTTTTTTTCTCTCCCTGTCGCCGATTCTATTATATCTGTGGAATAGATCCGGTTTTGATTAATATTAGGGGTTGTAAATGTTTGACTAAAATTAATAATTTATTATTAATTTCAAAAATTACGTAATTTCGATTATAAAATTTCTTCTATAACGTGTATTTTATTATGTTTATCCTTTTCGGACTCTAAGACGTTTTTTCTAAACTTTTATGTAAAAAACCTGTCCTAAATCTTAATAAAATATAAAAAAGTTTAAATACGATATATTTTTAATTTAATTATAGCTTCATTAAAATAAAAAAATTACCCGGCTATGATACGGAGAGTTCAGGTGTACTTGAGAAACGAAAGACAGTGTTGTGTTTCTCGGCAGAGTCGTCAGGGAACGACCGTTACGACAGAGACAACCTATCTATCGCTCGTGTCACTGTCGTTATAACCTAAAACAATAACACAACAATAACAAGACAGTGTCCGACCGCATGTTCCAGCTATTTATGAATGAGATGCTCAGTCTATATTTTATTTTAAGTCTATGGTGAATCCTCAAACTCGATATATTCACCATATTATATGTTTGTAAAACTGTTCTATAGTAAGTTTAATGTTTATAGGGTTACAAAATATGAAAGATATATTAATAAACATCGGGTTTGAATCGTTAATGACAAGATTTAAGTATTTTTTAAAATATTTCCAATATTTCCGAGACACGTTTGGAAATTTCCAATATTTCCATTTACAACACTAATATAGAATATAGACATCCAAAAAAATCACTTTTGAATATATTCTTTTCACTGGATATTTTTTGTAATAAATTTATTTAGAGCTGAATAGTAATATAGGAGTTCTTTTTGCAGGGCATATTGAACCTAATAATGTGATATTTGTGGGTATAGACACCGAAACAGGAGAGCTAACGGAAATATCTCAATGGAGACTGGAAATAAAAAATAATGATACTACACAGTTGTTAAAAATTTTGAGTAATGTTGAACAGGAACTCAATTATTATGTTACAAAATTAAAGCACACTAATTTATCTCATTATCTGGGATTCAAGCATGAAATAGTGGAAAACCAAGTTTATGTTTATATCCTGAAAGAATTTATATCTGGTAAGTAATTTATTAAAAAATATTGTCAATAGAATATATTTGATTAGAATTATACAGGGTGTCTCAGATTTTAGTCGGGAAAATTTAATAGACGATAGAACTTGCAAAAATAAAACAAAAAGTTCATATCAACTTGTAAGATTTAAAGCTTCCTTTTAGAGATACAGGGTGTTAAAGTTACTTAAAAGAGAAAAATAATTTAAGATATTTGAAAAAGTATTTAATCGATTTTGATATAACTTGACCCGTTTATAATACTTACTATGGGACTTAATTTGATGTAATTAGATTTAAGTTAAATGGCCAGGGGCGGCGGTGGGGCATCACTGTTAAATTATTTTAAAGGAAAAAATAGGCACGCCACTGCTTTTTTAGAGGTTTAATATTATTTTCGGATTTAGTAATTAAAAATATTATTTTTTTGCCTCCTGACTTTTTTGTCTATCGTGCTGAGTTCTTGCGAAAAAAAATAAATTCTAATTGGTAATTAATATTATAATTGGTATTCTAATGGCACCCTGTATCTCGAAAAGGAAGCTTTAAATCTTACAAGTTGATATAAACTTTTTGTTTTATTTTTGCAAGTTCTATCGTCTATTAAATTTTCCCGATTAAAATCTGAGACACCCTGTATATTCCATTATAATTATAATAATTCTAAACAAAAATTTACTAAAATGTTTATTATTTTTATAATTAAGTTTTTTTTGAATGTGACAGTTTGAAAATAGTAGAGTATCGAGAAACTGAAATGACACATATTTTTATAGTATTTTATCTCATAATATTAATGATAAAATATTTAATATACAGGGTGGGGCGCAGTAACTTCCTTTTTTCCGAGAGCAAATTAAAAACAAGTACTGCTTATAAAAAATATTTATTTTCTAAAAATGAATATATGCAATTGAAAGTTTTAATTCATATTGTTTTAAACAAAACGTTTTGAAGATGGTGCCCTCCATTATCTATGCATTGTTGTACTCGATTTTGAAAGCTTCCCATTACACGTTCCAACATAGCTAGTGGAATTTGAGCTATTTCTTGCCGAATACAATTTTTTAGCTGCAGAAGGGTTGTGGGGCGATGTTTAAAAACCTCCGCTTTTAGATATCCCCACAAAAAAAAATCGCAGGGGGCTATATCAGGCGAGCGCGCTGGCCAGGTGATGTCACCCCGAAGAGAGATGAGTCGCCCGGGGAACATTGCCCTTAAAACTTCCATACAAGCACGGGATGTGTGGGCGGTTGCACCATCCTGTTGAAACCACACATTTTCTCGTTCCATTTCTTCAAGACGTGGTGCAAAAAAAGTTTGCAACATGTTCACATACCGCTGTGAATTGACGGTAACTGCTCCTCCATTATCATCCTCGAAGAAAAAAGGACCAATAATCCATTTCTAGACATCGCGCACCAGACTGTCACTCTATCACTGTGCAGGGGCCTCTCATGAAGTTCCCGAGGGTTATTGTCACTCCAATAGCGCATATTTTGCTTATTGACGCAGCCGGATAGGTGAAAATGTGCTTCATCACTAAAGAAAACCAGTGCGTCATGGGGTAAATCTTCCAATAAAGTTTCGCATGCCGTTACGCGGTTATGAAAATCACGGGGTAACAGTTCTTGCACAACAACCATTTTGTATGGTTGAAAGTGAAGCTCTTTGTGAAGTATTCGACGCATTGATCGGTTAGATATTCCTAGGGCTGCCGCATGCTTGCGAGCAGAGCGCCTTGGAGATCTCAGAATGGACTGTCGAACTGCCTCAATATTTTCTGGCGTTGTAACGGTCTTTTGTCGTCCCGGGCCTTTTTTGATCACATTTCCGGTTGTTCTGAAGTTCTCTACCCACAAAAGAATTGACTTACGGTCGGGAACTGCACCCCTGGGCTGAATCCCAAAGCGGACACGGAACGCTCGTTGCACCGCCACAAATGAATTGCTCGAAAAATACGCTTCCACTGCAAATGCACGCTGTTCTCTTGTCCACCTCATTTTTACGACTGCAGCGTATACAAAAGAAAAGTTGCCGAGTGCCTGCGTTCAGCGCCTGTTTCCCCACTCTTCTACGATCTCACCTGCTGTTACAGTGTGATCGCAAAAAAAGGAAGTTTCTATGCCCCACCCTGTATAATGTAATTATAAATAACATAAAATAAACCATCACAGCATAGTAGACTTGTGATATTTAAGTTGGAAAAATGGTATGATTCTACATTTGTAATGATTTTAAATTACACATTTTTGAAAAAAAAATCTTTTAAGCAGTATTAAATTCTTTTGAAAATAGTTTATTTTTAAAAGAAACAAAAATTTTGTAACTAGTGCCTGTGCTAGTGCCTACATGTTTCTGTACAGGGTGTCTCAAAAAACATGTGCCATCATTCTCCTCTAAAATTCCTCACGTAAAAATAAGATTTATTTTTCATATCAACATAGGTCTGATTCTGCTTTGTTTCGTAGATACAAGGTGTTATAAGTCTTAATATTTTTTCCATTTATTATAATTTTCCTCCAAGTACTTTTAATGTTTCAAATTAAATTTTGAGGGTAAAAGTTACTATAAATACGACATATTTTAAAGCTAAAAAAGTGTCTATATATTCACCAGGGACGTGCATACGGACGTGTTTGTGAAAAATATTCCAGTGATAATCCATATGCAGATCTCTGATAGATTTATCGACCCTTTTTTTGCATTAAAATATGTAGCACTTATAGTAACTGTAAACCTCAAAATTTCATTCGAACCACTAAAAGTACTTGGAAGAAAATTATAATAAATCGAAAGATTATTAAGATTCTAACACCCTGTAGCTACGAAACAAAGCAGAATCGGACCTATGTTGATATGAAAAATAAATATTATTTTTACGTGAGGAATATCCCTACTAGAGATGGCACATGTTTTTTGAGACACCCTGTATAAGCAATATTCCTATTAAGGCAAAGTAGGGTATGATCGAATAAAAACGGCGTCAGCGATGGCTATGAAATGAAGATCGCTGGCATTTTATATGTAAAATTATATGGGAAATGTCAGCGATTATCATTTCCGAGCCAACTGGACGCCGTTTTTTTTTTCGATCATATGGTACATAATAAATGTCTGCTAAGACTTTGTAATAGACTGGGCAGACATCTCAAATGGGTGAGCAGAAAAGATCAATAGGAGAGGTATACCGACCCTAACTGCTGATCATCAGGATCTAGAGAATCTAGAGCAAAAAAACGTGTAATTGGTTGAAGAATATATTAGGGTCTATAAGGATAATAAGTAGGAATATATTATAGGGTCTATAAGGATAATTATAATCAACACGGTATTATTGAGGGGCAACCATTTTGGGAGGTGAGGAGAGGGAATAAAGTAAACCTTTTTTTAAAGAGGTTTAGGGCGCTCGCATGTCAACTGAAAATTAAAAAAAAACATAAAACCGTTAAATTCCATATAAAAATATAACAAAAAATAAGAGTTACCTAAAAAAAATCAACAGATAGCTCCTATGGTAATATTTTAGCCTATGGTATTTTTTATGTTTCTGAGTGTCCAGTTTTACATATCGTCAGTGAAACGTGATAACTTGCTAACTCCATTTTTGATTTTAACTAAATAGTACGTTTAATACATTCGTAAAATTTTTAACAAAATATTAAGTTTTATTGTTCCCCAGCAACGATTATTGTTATCTCTGTATCATATTAATGCATGAATATACTTGCTACCTGTGTACATATTTTTTTGTACCGTTTTCTTTTTCTCCTCTAAAATTAGGATTAATGGAGTTAGCAGTTTATCACATATCACCGACGATATATGGTCTGGTAACATATATTATTATATTCACGATAGTATAATTTAATATTTACTGTCTAGGTTCAAATTGCTGTTCATTGTTTACCAGTCCAAATATTAAAGTTGAGATTAACTTTTTAAAACATCTTGCCAAAGGAGTATTAACAGCTATAGATTATCTGCATCGAAATAACGTCGTTCATAAGAATATTGGGGATTTTTGTGTTTTTGTTAGTGAGAAAGGTAAGTTTTATGTTGCAAAACTCTTCTACAACCTAACCTAACACAAACACTTTACCAAAAATTAATTTATTATACCGGGTGTTTTTCAAAAGTGGCTCACCCATAAAACGTTTTTATTTTTTTGAGAAAAAGAAACAGATTTTGTATGTGTCTATATTACGGTTAAAGTCCGATGTCCGGTTAATGTCGACATTAACATGTTAATGTTTGGGTTAGGTTATGTTTTTGGTTGTTTTGTTGTGTGTTATTATCGAAATTAACCGGACATCGGACCTTAACCGTAACATATACATGACATAAATCAGGATTGATTGACGCATTCAATTACCCTCGGCCACTTCCCGTTTTACCGGAAATGACTGCAACTTTTGATTTTTAAACCGTACCCTCGATATTTTTTTACTGTATTCAATAGAAAATGATATTTTGAATAGAATGACATATCATATGTCTATTTTTTCTTAACTGGGCGTGCGCAAAAAGCATTTTTCTCCCCATAAAAAAAATATATGTAAAATTTTGATTGGAAAAAATAGTATTTTAAATTTCAATCTAGAGTGCCATGGCACTGTAGGAGTCTTGGAAGAATATATTTGATCGTCTAATGTTTTTCGTGACTATTCATGGCCGGTTAACAGATCGCGCACACTATACCTACACGGACCAGCACAGCACAAACCTGCATCCTGCATAACGTCGCACACTTTACCGCCACAGACCAGCAACATAAGCGAGAGTTTCGAAAAAACTACAGTTGTCAAGTAGTAGTTGAGCGTGCAACATAGAAGTATTGAAAATGAGTAGTTCAGAGGAAGACATTATTATTTTAGCCATGTTGTGGTGAAGAAGAGGAGGAAGAGGAGGAAGCTAAGAAAAAAAGATTTTGGGTTCACCCTATAAATCAGAAGAGAAAGCAATATGGCGAATTTTATCATTTGTTTCCTGAATTAAAAAGATTCGAAGAAAAGTTTTTCCAATATTTTCGAATGTCACAAAACAAATTTTATTAGTTATTTTTTGCTATCTCCTCCCATATTGCATCTTTTCTTTCTTGGTCTCTATAAAATGCGTGGCTCGTATCCCACAGCTCTGGATACTTAAATTAAGCTTTTCTTCATTCATATTTAAAACGATTTGAAGGTTCGAACAAAAATAAACAAAATCTAACCTACAACATGCGACTTGAGCCAGCTAGCGTACTCGAAAGACTGACGAATCCTTCAATATTTGCATGTTTGTAGAGGTGTTCTGGTTCGCCGGTGCGCACATTAGGTCGGACCAGCACGACCAGGCATAAATATTGCCGGTCATATTTGTCCTCTACCGACACGACCTGTTTTGACGGTCGTGGCTTGTGGCGGTACGTGCTGGTGCTGGTCTAGTATGCGCTACTCTATTAAATAACACGGTCACCTTCACCGGTAGATTTTACTGGTCTGGTCCGTGCCGGTCCGTGCAGCTATAGTGTGCGCGTAAAAGATTGTATTTTATAAGCTTTTATTACTTGCTTTGTATGTAACTATCTATGTATGTATGTATGTTTTAGTCTAAGAGCTAGCAACGTTTTCGAGAAAGTATTTTAAGACGTCTGGCTCTTTGATATATCTTTTACTATGCTCTCTGGAACATCATGCGGCCCGTCTGGTTGCCGATACCCGTTGCGTTCACTACTGCGCATCGAAAGAAGATCCTATATATATTTTTTTAATTTAGTCAGGGATCAGTGCAAGAACTTTTTTTATTTTATTTTCGTTTATATTCTGATAGTAAAGTATTAAATATTAATAATTAATAATATTTAAGAATTATTATTAATTATTATCAATATATTATTTATTATTAATATTTAATACTTTACTATCAGAATATAAACGAAAATAAAATAAAAATTTTTTTGCACTGACCCAGATTCGAACTCTGACTCCTCGCTTGATAGGCAGAAACTCTACGCGCTGAGCTATGAAGACATATTCGATTTATATTCAATACTAGAATTTAAAGGACTAATAGAATATAGTATCTTCTTTCAATGCACAGTAGGGAACGCAACGTTTACCGGCAGCCAGACGGGTCGCATGCTGTTCTAGAGAGCATATTAAAAGATATATCAAAGAGCCAGACGTCTTAAAATAACTTGTTTTTTCTACGTTGCTAGCTCTCGTACTATTTGTTCGGGACAAATCTTGTAAGCTAAATTAGGACCGCTTCCTTTTATTGTAGGAAATTGAAATTTGGCGTGTAGGTTCAGTCCCGATGACAGTATATTTTTTTGCAAGCCATGACCCGAATTTTTGACAGCTGTCAAAATGGCGGCATTTTTGAAGTTTTTGATTTTTTAAAATTCTATTTATGAATGGATCGGGCTGAAATTATATATATAGGTATATTGTGGGTATATACATATGAAAAAAATATATAGGCGCCATCTTGAAAAAGTTACAGTTTAATGGCATGTCAAAATTTCAAAGTCAACCGATTTTGATAAAAATCGATATATAGGATGGCCATGGGCTAAAATGAAAGAAAAAAAATTGAGCTGTCAAATTTGACAGCTGTCAAAAAAATTTCAAAGTTGTCCGATTTTGATAAAAATCGATATATTGGATGCCCCCTACCTCATTAGTCGGTTTTCATTTTATTTGTCTCACATTTGAACTGTCAAATTTAATAGTTGTCGTTTTTTTCAAGTTCTTCTTTTTTAATGAAAATCGATATACATACATATTATTAGGATGCCCATAGGAAGTTATTTAAGAAAAAAAATTGAGTTTAAGTGTGTGGCACTGAGAAACCAGCATAACTAAAAAGTAGAAAATAAATTTTAGAAAAAACCTTTTTTAAAAACAAGCTTTTTTTTAAATACACTAAAAAGAAAAAAATAAACATCTTTAAAACTTTTATTATGAACTTATAACGTCATTACACAATTTAATATTATATAAAAGCTTGTCGCGAGATTTCTCTACATCGATAAACAAGTAAATTAACTAAAACCTGTGTCTACACTGTCTCCTTTTCAAAGTTTGTGTTATGACCAGGAATTACAACTTGTACCAGATTTTTATGAGTTCAACTGTTTACTCAAATCTCGCGACAAACTTTTATAAAATATAAAATTGTGTAATGACGTTATAAGTTCATAATAAAAGTTTTAAAGAAAATGTTTCTTTTTTCTTTTTAGTGTATTTAAAAAAAAGCTTGTTTTTAAAAAAGTTTTTTTCTAAAATTTATTTAATCATAACTCATTTTTTCAAATGGAACGAGAGTGGCCCATTGTAGCATTTTTGGAAATAGCGTTTTTTCCGAATAGTTTGCTACCGTATACTTGCTATTTTGAGTCTAATATTCGTTACGAACAGAGCTCGTAGACACTCTGGATTGAAATTTAAATTACTATTTTCCCTAAACGAAAATGTCAGAAGTTGACATATGAAATGAAGGAAAAAAATTCACAAATTTTGCAATATGCGCAACCATCATAGGCGTATTGAAAATACCAGACACAAGTCGGTGGTTGTCGGCAATCACCTGTTTTTTTTTACATTTCATATTAATTTGTGACGTCATTTGGAAGAGCTCAATAGAAATATAAAAGAACTAAACCTTGTTTGAACAGCAATTTGACATTCGTGACGTCAGCACTCCGGCAGTCTATGGTGCGTCCAGACCTGACGAGCCGAGCGTGAGACGAGAGCAAGACAAAGAGCGAGACAAGAGCGAGACGAGAGCGAGACATTTTCTATCAATTTTTTACGCAAACCTGCCACGAGACAAGCCGAGTGGGATCATAGTGAAAGGAAGCCAAACACATATTAAATTGCAATTGAATATAACAAACGATGGCCAAATAATAACGCATACAGTAATAAATTTTTGTATCTTTAATATGGTATTCGGTCTTTAACATAGTATTCATCGTCGGTTTTCCCCTTTTGGCTGTTTTCCCCTTTATCCCTTACACGACTTTTTTTACATAATACGGTTTTTAATGTTTTTAGAACAAAATGTTAAATAGAAAAGTTATTGGTAAGGTTAAGAAGCACATTTTAACATTACTATAGAGTATACAGAGTACTTCAAAAAAGTGTTGCGGATATAACATATTTTCTAATGGGAATACCCTATTTTTTATTTTATTATTGGGTTATATATACGTACAATTCGGTAACTTTTCTTGCATTTTTTGATATTATATATCTAAAATTAATAGATGTAATAATTCTATTTGTTTAAAGAAATGTTGGATTTCGGTAGGGTAAAAATTATCAGTGACGCAAAATTTGTAAATTCTATCAGAAAAAATGTTATGGCTTTTTATGAAAGTGTATATATAGAATTAATTGCATTAATTTGCAATAGCACCTCGAACCCACAGTTCCTGCGTGGGCAATTCTACGTTTAACTCCTGCCCGAAATATACCAAAAAGTGGGTCAGTTTCGGTTAAGTTTAGATTAGGTCTATATTTTTATTAATTCAAAACCAACTAAAACCTAATTCTACTCCTAAACTCACCCCTTCTTTTGCATATTTCCGGCTATTACCTGGGTATTCCTAGGTTTAACTAATATTCGAACTTACGGTATAAATTTATGGACGGCCCATAAATTTAAATTCGCCGTACAACAAGATTTCACCAATTTTCTCAATAAAAATTAAAAGTTATAAATCATACTATTTTTATAGAAATGATGGAATAAGGGTGAACGGGGTGCCGGTAGACCAAGGAGATACTTAAGGAATGTAAGTGTTAATTTATACAAGGAATGTAAGTGTTAATTTATACTCGAATTGAGTTGCCTCACAGTATAGGCATATTTTGAACCTTTACCGTGCATAGTTACTGTAGATAAAAATAAATTAAAATATAGTTGGCTCCAACGATAATTTAGTTTACAGCTTCTTTTCATCATACCTAATAAAAAAACCGTGACAACCACTACTTATAGTATGTACCTACATATGTATTTTTAAAAATCATTATGAGATTTAAGCATAAAAAGGTGCTCATAATGGGAGTAGAGGTATTGACGGTTTTTGGTTATGAGTAAAATAAGCAGCAAAATATATTATCGATTGCAGCAACTATGTATACCTAGTTTACATTCAGTATGTCCAATTAACATTTTCTACCATTATATTTTGATAGTTGAGTTTTTGAAATGATTTATTAGCTTCTTAAACAAAACAGAACCATAATAATTAAAATTTTTATCATCCACTTTCAAGAATTATGAAGTAATCTCACGTCAATTTTTTTTAAAATTATTGCATGCCTTAAGTATTTGCAAAGTTAACAAAAATATTTCTTTGCATACCTTGCAATTAATATATTTGGTCTAATTTATCAGTTCTGCATCATATCCGAAATTCAGATTGTGTGTGACACAACACAACACAACACGACACAACAAGAAAAATGGCAAGTAAAAAAATGTAAAGTTTTAATTACTAATTACACAGTCCTTCCCTTCAGTTCTTCTGCCTAAAATCTATATTGCCTCCCTAAGATTTTAAATATAAATGATTGAAACTCATAACAAATTTACCACAATTTAACTTTAAGATAATTATTTAATTATTAAATCCATAATTATACCGTATGATCGAAAAAAAAACGGCGTCCAGTTGGCTTGGAAATGACGATCGATGACATTTCTTATATAATTTCACATATAAAATGACAGCGATCTTCATTTCATAGCCATCGCTGACGCCGTTTTTATTCGATCATACGGTATTAAAATGTAACACTTACGAAGTTAATAAATATTAACTATTTCTATTTAATCATTTAATAATTATTCTGATAAAAACACGCTTGATTTTTTATTTTAGAAATCATAGAGGCTATGATCATTAATATGACTATATTAACAATACTTAAATTCAAATTTATTTGAAGAAATGCTACTTGAAGTATTAACTCGGAATAATTATTAAAAACTGCTCATCGATGTCGGCGTCTTGTCACTGTTGTCTGGCTGATTGGCCGATTAGGTACCTACCAAAGACATCTAATTTAGATGTCTTTGGTACCTACCTATAATTTGATTTCAGATAATGCAGATTTTAATGTGCCATTTGTGGATTTTTTATTGGATTTTTTTTTACATATTTGGTATACTCTATGAAGTGCTCATGTCCATTTTTCAATTATTAAAGTGCCTATTTAGATACATTTAAAGTTAATTAATTAGTGTATAGTAATTGAATTATGGGTTTGTTTATTTTTTATGAAATGTATTTTTTTTCTATTAGAATAAACCTAGCTTTACTTACAAAATCACTAGCTAGCCATTTTTAAATACAGGGTGTTAATTAAGTAGTATCTGGCCAAATTCAGGAGGTGATTCTTTGAGTGTTTTTAAGGTAAAAAGTTAATTTAAACATGTGTCCGGAAATGCATAATTTTAAAGATACAGGGTGTCAAGATGTTTCCTAATAGACATTTTATTATTAATATCTCAAAGATCCGTTGGCCGATTTTATTGAAATTTCGCCGTGTTGTGAACTTAGTTAGCACTAATTAAATGATAATAATTATTATTTACAACAATATTCAAACGGTAAAAACTTATCAACTTATCCCAATAAATATTTGACAACGCCTTGGATTCATTTGTTTTAAGGCCTGTTGGCGGTGGAAACCATGCAAGCTTTTTCTTTGTCCTAAGTTGTTAATTAAAAAAATAATAATCATATAAAAAAATATGGTAATTAGTCTAAATTTATTATTTATGTGATTCTGCTCTTTCTCGTATAATTTGCCCCTTACGGAAATAGATTAAAATTAGCGATGGGAACTATCGAATGAAATTAGACTATCGAATGGTTAATGAATGATGATTTCAACTATCGAATGGTTTTATTCGAATAAAATCATTCATTCATTTGTATACTAAAGCATATGTGACAACCTCGCCGTGCGACTAAATGGTTATCGTTGAGCCACGACTATCGAATGCTTTTGATAAATGAAATTTAGTATTCGTTTGATTTTTGTATGCGTCAGTGCATTATTGGTTCTTCCAAATTTTTATAACTTCGCCGTATAAATACTGTGCTATTTTTGCGTTTATTAAAATAGTTAAAATACTAAAATAGTAGTTATTTTTTAATTTTATTTATTGAGGATTGTGTGCATGTGCAGGTGGTCAAAATTTTTCTGAAAATTTGTGTGGTTTTCGGTAGTCCGATCTTTCAATTATTTAATTTTATATGGTATATGGTCTATTTTTTAATGGGAAACTTTGAGAAGTAGCAATTTTTAAGAGAGATGAGATGAACTTACAATTAAGTTTAAAAATACATATTTGTATTTTAGATGTTTTAATAATATGAATTAGTTGGAACTTAATAATCATATTTAAGTAATGTGGTTAAGTAAATGGTTATCGAACTCAAACTATGGGGTGAGAAAATTAAAATGAAAGTTTTACATGTGCCAATTTAAAAAAAAAGTTAACGATGTTTGTATTTTGTTTATGCTGATTCTCTTACATGTAGTTTTTTGCGAAGAAATATTTCATTTATTTTTTAAAGTAAATGCCAGTAAAAGTAAATATAATTTTTAAATAGTAATATAAAGCACCTAATATAAATAATTTTGATTTCTAATTTTTTATTTATATTTTCCTTCCATTACACTGCATGCTTAGAAAATTAATAAATGTTTATATTTCATGATTTTAAAATTTGTTGTTAATATAACAAAGTAGTTCTGTAATTATTATTTAATAAACCAACGTTGCCACACACAAAAAATTTAGAGACTATATTATTTTTAAATAGGATCTAATATAAATAATTTTGACATCTAATTTGTTGTTTATATTTTGCTACTACTTAAAAAAAAATATTTATATTAAATGATTTTAAATTTTGTTGTTAATATTTATAACAAATTATTACTGTTATTATTATTTATTAAACCAGTCTTTGCTTAAAAACATTAAAAATCATTTTCCTACATCCAAAATAACAAGTATTATTGCAGTGTAACAACAGAATATTAATAAAAAAATGAAGAATATATAGACATACTATCCCTAACTAACTAAAGCCAAACAATAATATTCTTTGCTAATATGAACTAATACCAAAATATGGCAACAGCGCCTTTCATAATGTATTTTCTGTGTAAATACTAGCACCTCAATAAAAAAAATAATGTGTCCTTATCTATATCTGACTCCGCAAAAAATCAAAGATGCCGGCTTCTTTCATAGCATTGCCACCGACCGCTGTCGGGCTTCTTGGAAAGAAACCTACGTCGCCGGGCGACAACTAAAATTCAGTTAATATTTTATTATAATCGATCCTGACGAATAAATGAATTTCATAAATGAATGAATTCTATAAATGAATGGTTTTTGCTGCCGAATTACTAGAATACAATATTTCAAGGCAGATGACGGATCTATTCGATAATTTTTATTCGAATAGTTTTCAACGAATGTTTTCTTGCTAACTATCGAATTATTCGAATGAATTGCAACTATCGAATGTTTCGATAGTATTCATTCGATACTTCCCACTACTAATTAAAATAGTCAAACTGTACTTAACAACCCATGCCTTGAAATATTTTCTTTTAAAATAATATCGCTTTCTTTATCCGCCGGTCCAGATTTGAACGGCCTTGCCCTGTTCGCTCATCAATGCAGGCTCTATCGACATAAGTACGTGTTGACAGGCAGGTTATTGAACCCATATTGCGTCTAGCATGTCGTTTTTTCAAAGATGGGTCCCATATAAACGCGGCCAGAAGTATTTTCAATACTAAAAATTGCGAGGGTACCATTTAAAAATCAAAAGCTGTTGTCTTTTCTATTGAAACAGGAAGTGACTGAAATTCATTAAATACGTCAATCAGTCCTGATTAATGTCATATACTTAAACATCAACGTTCTTTTTTTGTTTGAAAATATAAAAAGGTTATAGGGGGTCAGCCATATCTGCAAAACACTCGGTATTGTATCTTAAACACACTATTTTTACCAGCTTTTGCGATTTTACTTAGTCGCTTTTTTGTTTACAATATTTTTTATCAATACAATTACATATTGGTAAACAACAACTTTGCATTTGGGTGTTTTAGGTGTCATTAAAGTGTCAGATTATAGTATTCATAGAAGGATGTTAGACTTGCTTTCGCCAGTTCATGTCTATTATTCCAAGAAAGGAGATATATTTGATTTCGGCAAATTTATTCTTGCCTTACTTGGACAAAATATAGCCAATGACAATGTCGAAATTCCAAATCTGATACAAAGTGATTTATATGACTTCTTAACGAGGTAAGACAATTATTTTTCTATTTGTTACACTCTCTAATAATTAAATTGATTTTAGGTGCTTGAATAAAGATGAGAAAAGTCGTTATACTGCCAATCAGTTACTAAATCATCCATTCTTTCACAAAACCATTGTTCATTTTTCACCACAACAAGCACTTCAAGACTTGCCGCTCGAAAGAAACGTTTCTCCAGAGATCACACATAATCTTTCTGCATCATCCACTGGAAACAGCCAGTCGCGTATTGACAACGAATTCGAAATTTTGGAGCACTTAGGGAAGGGTGCTTTCGGCGACGTTTTGAAGGTGAAAACAAGTATTATCCTTTTTATATTGCATTTCACTTAACCCCTAACGGCTACACTAAATAATTTTCCTTTAATCGGTACAGAGTGGTCCGGTATACACTTCTTTTTAAGTGACATAATTTAATAGAAATCAAAATGTTTTTCTATCTATACACTATTCATATGAGTTTTAATGATCTAGTTAAAAATATATTGACACCACATAAATAAATTATAAATCAGAAAGCAAACTTTAATTTAAAAATTATATGGTAAAGCTTAAAAAATAATCTTTTTATATATTTTTATTCTCGCATCAGTCTAAACATATTTCTCTTGAGCTATACAGGGTGTCCCAGAAGTGCAAATATTTTAACTGGTAGTATAGTTCAACCCAAGAAACACGCCTATGAGGTTTTTTTTGCGAAAAAAAAAATGTTGAAAATTTAAAATTTATATGGTAAAGAAAAATAATCTTTTTATATATTTTTATTCTCGCATCAGTCTAAACATATTTCTCTTGAGCTATACAGGGTGTCCCAGAAATAAGTGCAAATATTTTAACTGGTAGTATAGTTCAACCCAAGAAACACGCCTATGAGGTTTTTTTTGCGAAAAAAAAAATGTTGAAAATTTAAAATTTTTCTTGACATTTTCCGGGAAATTTGAAAAAACTTTTTAGTGCCACTTGTTTATTCACCTGAGATTTCCCTACGGTGTATCTAAACCTTGCAGTGTTGCAACCTCCTATGTTATCAACATTCTACATAGTTCGGCGGAACATAGTTCTACATTTATAAATTGATAGACAAATTTCTACTCAAAAAATTAGGAATGTTAAATTTAATCTTTTATCAGTGCTCATTATTAATAATTATAGAAAAAAAAAACACATTAATTATTTTTAGTACTTACCTTTTCAATGAAAACTTAACAAAAACCACCGAAAATTAACTAAAACATTACTTTATGACGTTTACGAAAATCTTTGTTATGCTGCAAAATAACTTTATTTTGGAATAAATGTAATAAAATGGTTCATATTATTCACAATCAGGTCACAAAAAGAAATTCCTAAAATGTTTATCATAATTTAGAATTCAATTCAAGAAATTTAGAAAACAGCCCAACGAATAATCGATTCATTTTTGTTTTGTTTGTTTTCTTTCATGTTTCTCTGTTTTATTTGAACCACTGTTTTACAAAACACCTTGAAACGCGCACATTACTTTGAATACCTTTCTGAATGAATAAATGTTGAGAATTATTGTCTCTTATCTCCACTTTACGAATTACTTTCAATCTAAGAAAATACATGTTTCACTCAACAATTATTGACACCGTATTTTGTTTTTTTCGCTATTTTTTCGATGTATTTCGACAATTCCATCGACAGCCTAACCATCAGCCAAGAACTGCCGCGTGTGAACTGGTAACTGCTCCTTTGAGTCGCCGGTCGCCGCGCCGTCGTGACGGGCTTGCGTCAGGCGACGATGTTAAGCAACGTTGCCGTAGTTACAACCATTTCAAATTCAAGACATTCGAAGCAATCAAATTCGTATTAAATTTTAAAAATAAAACAGAGAAACATGAAAGGAAATAAACAAAATAAAAATGAATTGATTATTCGTCGGGCTGTTTTCGATGTATTGAATTCTGAATTACGATAAACATTTTAGAAATTTCTTTTTTGTGACCTTATCAATAACCAATTCATTTGTGTTTTGTTTGTTTCCTTTCATGTTTTTCTGTATCTTTAAAATTTAATAAGAATTTGATTGCTTCGAGTGTCCTGAATTTGAAATTGCTGAAACTACGGCAACCTCGCATGACGCAAGCTCGACACGGCGGCGCGACAAAGGAGCAGTTACCAGTGATGCGCCGCTCTCTTGGCCGACGGCCGACGCGACGTTTGGGCTGTCGATGGAATTGTTGAAATACATAGAAAAAATAGCGAAAAAACAAAATACGTATTTAAAATTGTTGAATGAAACATATATTTTCTTAGATTGAAAGTAGTTCGGAAAGTGGCGGTAAGAGACAATAATTCTCAACATTTATTTATTCAGAAAGGTATTCAAAGTAATGTGTGCTTTTCAAGGTGTTTTGTAAATCAGTGGTTCAAATTGTGATGAGGCCTATATGAAAATAATGTGTTAAAAACGGGGACTGTTATTTTAGTAGTTATTATAATAGCATGTACAAGTAAAGCAGCACAGTGAAGTGTATTTTAGTTAAGTGTATATCGAAAAAGAGAACTGTCACAGTTACATCGATCTGTCATAAGTATCTTTTTTAATGTTGGGTAAGTTTTTTAATTTAACTTTTTTAACACATTTTTAACACATTATTAAACATTTAACTTTTAATTTATTTTATGTAATATCACAATCTAAAAATGTAATGCATCTCTGCAAACTCCTCAGGTGTTGTGATTTTATGACTTGCTTTTTAACATATACTTTCTTGTCCCTATGGCAACACAGTGCGTCGAAGTAACTGAAATCGGGCTTGATCCGGGTAATTGGATGTAGTTGGCGATATCTGCCGGCGGTTCTTAAAATGTTGCGATTATTTTTTTAAATTTTCAAAGTTAAATAACTCGGTTATTTTCAATTTATTTTAAAAATGGTAAAGAGAAAATATGTTTATTTTGACCAGATCTACCACCCCTTAAAATATCTGCACTCATTTCTGGGACACCCTGTATAGAGAAATGTTTTTTTTACTAACTGTACAGGGTGGGTCAAATTCGACGCTTTTAAATGGAAACACCCTTTTCTATAGGAGATAGACGAAAACTAATATTGGTGTCTGTAGCTCAATTTTCATCAAAAACATGATGGTGAAAACCGCACATCAATATCTGTTACCGTTTCGGAGTTACACTAAATGTGCATTTTTAACAAATCGCTATAACTTTTTTGCTATGGAAAATTTTGTATTTCTATGAAAACATTTCCAAAGCACCTTTTTACGTAGAATTTAATGGTTTAAGTATAATTTTTTTTAAATTAATAATTTAAGAGTTATCAACAGAATTTGACCCACCCTGTACAGATATAACATAGTTTAAGGAAAAGAGTAGTTGCACTCTCGCAAATATTTTCTGCCAGTTTTTGCAAGCTGTCGAATATCGGCAGGTTGCAAAGCGTTTCAGTTGAATTCCGTCCGTCGAGCTGCGAGGTTCGAGCGTTGCGTTCCAGCACAGAGACGGATTGATAAAAAATGAGTGCATTACTGTGTTCTGCTATCAATTGTAGTAATAATTTAAAAAATTGTTCTTTGAGTTTTTTTAGATTTCCATCGGATATAAATCGGCAAGCTGATAGTAATTATCAATTAACATTTAATTATATTTGATTATTTTAGAAGCTGAGATATTATGTAATTAATTAAATGTTATTATTTTTTTTAGCATGTGGGCAGATTTTAAAAATAGTTTTTTAGATATACAGGTTGTCTCAAATATGCGCATGAAAATATTTTTTGGTCAGGGGATTTGCCATAAAATTTTCATTCCAATAATAGTTTACGAGATAATTTATATAGATTTCTTTTTGAAACAATTTTAGAGTAAATATTTTGTACATCTAAAGTCTCCGCAAATTATTCATATTTTTTAATTGAAAGAATTTTATAATAGCATAATCTCTTATAAATTTAGTGGACTGTATTTTTTTATGTTTTTTTATTTATTTTTTATTATAAGTGGTCGTAATATAACAATATTCAAAATATTATAGACAAAATATCGAGTTTATATTTGAGGGAAGAAAAGTGCTACACCTAGCTTTAAACCACCTTAAATATACAGGGTGGCCCATTAGTGCGAGGAAGTCCAATATCATCGTCGTTGTCGAAGATGTGAAAAAAGTTTTATTCATATGTTTCAAGGTTTATAAAGGGGCGTATCCTAAAATATTTTGTTATATACAGGGTGTCACAAAAAAGTTATGGTAAAGTTAGTTTTATTTTTTTTTAATTATTTTACATCATTCTATATACATTATTCTATTTCGCACTTATTTTACCGTTGAAAGAGAGAATATCACCGGATAGCATAGCTGCTGTGTTGGAGCCTCATTTATTACGCACTCTTTTCTGGGACACCGTGTATAGGGTATTTTTTATGGCGTCACCAAAATCGGAATACTTAAAATGGTATATCTCAGTTTTTTTAAATGCCATATCGTCGGTGACCTGGCAATAGCTCCTATGTCATTTAACCTAAATTTTACAGGAGACAAAAAAAATCCAATACATCTATGAATTGCTTGATTTTCAATTATTTTTCAGTCATAGATATGTAATTAAGTGTGCTGAATTTGATTTTTTATGTAATTTTTAACAATATTTTGCTCTTATTGTTTAAAATTAGATAGGAGATACTGTTTGAAATGTAATGACTTATAGGAGAATTTCGTCCAGACTTTTTAACATTTAGGAGAAGTTGCAGTTGGTATATCCGATATCCAACGTGTTAACAAACATAGCCCGACATACTTGTAGTTTCTCCTTTCCATTATTTAGATAGTATGAGCAAGTGCCTAATCTTCTTGACTGCTCTTTAGTCCTTTTAAAAGTTGGGGTTTTTAATTCATGTGACGCTACAAAGGTCTTGCGCTGATCCCAGTTAAGACTCCAGAATTTTTCGAATATTTCCTGTCGGCAATTATCTATAAAATCCTTTATCTATAAAATCCTCACTTTAGATTTTAGGCATTTGCTTGAGTTACAAGTCTCCTTCAACGATCTTGCTTTTCTTGGTTGATTTTGCTTGATCTTTTCTCCTTTCTTTTTCTTAAATCCTAAATAAGCCTTGCCTTGCATTCTCAGCCTTTTATTTTTGTTTCTTATCCATTCGTCTTTATCTGATTTTATCTGTCGTTTTCTTTCGCTGTTTATATTATTATTGTTCATGCTTTCTTCTGATTCAGTCCCTTTCTCGGCCTCTTCAGAGCTGACGTCTGTATCATCTTCATAGTTATCTTCGGTAGTACTGGTATTTGAAAGCTC